AGAGTATTAATATAATCGTCATATGAAAATAAAACATGACAACTCTGGGAAAGCTCCTGAACATGTCATCTATATAACCTGTTTAACAGAGGGCTGGCGTTTTGTTGCGTGCACAAGCTGTTTGGAACATATACATATATAATAATCTAAAATAAAGCCAAACACAAAGTTTTGGCTGTTTTTGGCAAACGTCTTCATAAAAGGAAGGTGAAAGGAAGATTTCAGCTTTCTGATGAGTCGTCCCTTTGGTGGTTGGACCCAAAAGGAAAAATGTCACAGAATCGTGAACATCAGGGTTTCGGGTCTAAGACAACATCCATCACTCACGTTACAATATAAAACATCTTTATTAGCACTGTAACCTGTAAAGTTTTCAGACACCGATCAGGCTTTTTGCATATTGTCGTTTATTCAAAAATAGTTAACACACACTGCAATGACGATATCTTGGCTGCTGTGACACACATGACTTCCTCCCCTCCAGACTGCAAGCTTTAGATCCGAGCACGTCCTCAGACAAAACATTTAGTAAAGAAACTCCTGCAGCACGATCCAATCTGAAGGCCCGGTCCAGCCAACAGCCACAAATCTGGCAAATCTTTCAAAATAAATCTCTGTATTTGTACCTGGACACTAAAATTTTGAAGGTACAGAGTCCAAAATAGAGAGTAGTTTTTGCTAGGAAGCTGTTAACAGATATTTAAGTTTTCTGTCACAAAGGAGAGCGGCCTTTATGTTTGTAGGTCACTGAATATATAATAACACTGCTAAATGACCTCAAAATGACTTTTTTTTTGGGTGACTTAAAAGAAAACAAGAAGTATTAAAAGATGCATTTGGAACAGGAGAAAAGTGTATTTACTAATAAAGCTATTCAAAGTACAGGAGGCAAATTTTAATAGATTAGTTTTAATTTGTAATTTCTATATTACTCAGATGCATTTGCTCATGTTAAAAATGTGTTTTGCTTGTTTTGTGTGTCTGACGAGATAAAGTTCTTTAACTTAAAACATGTAATTGCTAACACGTGAACGAGCTCTGGAATGTAAACCAACTCTGCATCCTTTTATTTTTACTTAAAAGCTAAAAAACTACACTTTTATTCTAAGATTTTTTTTAATTGGACAAAGTAATTTTATTGCAGGGCTGAATTTGCTAATGAGAAAAGTCTGAGAAGCACTTTTACTAAAATATTATTTAAAACATGTATTTAGTGATGGGAGATGTGTTGTGATCACGCTCCATTTCAAACAGCTACTAATTTTAACAGGTACCTAACAATCACAGTTCACCTTCACACTGTCTTTACTGAATGGCACACGGGAACGAGCCAGTATTTTAGTAAAATGCTGCCGGGACGTTTTCAGGCAGTCAAGCATGTTAGCTTGAACGCTATGCTAGCGTGACCAGTTTAGTTTTTGGCAGTTTGCGGTGAGACCGGGCCTCCGCTCCACCTGACCTCTCTCCTCAGACCCAGAATCATTCAGTTGCCTTCCCTCACGTACACTTTACCTTCTCCTCACAGCTTTAGTGTGCACACGCCTGTTAAATCTTTAGAACAGTAAAAGAAAGAGTTGGTATATCTGCAGATCTATGAATACTTAGCGAACATACAACTACTACTTGTGAACGATGGCTATGCATGGTCCCTGCCATGTGTTAACGCTGCACTGAAAACTCAGAGGAACTCAAACTTCTCCTTGTCAGGAAATATAGGAAAATAGAATTTCACAAACACATGCATTCCCCATGGAAACAGACAGGTTTTAAGAGATACAGTAAAACCCTGCAGAGAGACGAGCGTGTGAGCTGTTTTGTGTGTGTGTGTGTGTGTGTGTGTGTGTGTGTGTGTGTGTGTGTGTGTGTGTGTGTGTGTGTGTGTGTGTGTAAATGGCTTCCACAGAGAGTT